TTTTTGTGCTTTCTAATTTCTTGAAATAATCTCTTTGTCTTGCCTGTATAGGGTGAAAAAAGATAATTATCGGTTAAGTATTTGTTTTCAATATTTTTCAATTGTATTAGTGAGTAGTTTTATATAAATTTGTTAAATAGTGTTATTAGTATCAGAAATATTTTTCTGTGTAATCGTTAACAAGAAGAAAATTTATCATACATTTTATGTTAAATCTTCTTTTTTTCGATAAAATTTCTAGTTATTCATTAAATAATGCTGCATTAAATAGATATAAGATAAAGTTTACCGTAGTGACAAGGTTATAATCTTTAACTGTCTACAGAAAGCCTTTAACTTGTTTTATAGGACTACAAAGCTGCTATTTTGTTGCGAAAAATTCTATAGTAAACTGAATATTACTGTGCAATGTACTGCGCATGACTTGATACAGAAATTTATATCAGTATAAAGAGAAGAAAACCACACAAAAATTGTTTTTTTAATTCAAAAATTGTTTTAAGTCCCTTACAAAGTTAATAACTAAACATGCATGGAGTTGTAATTAGAATTAAATAACGAACATTTTTAGTAACAAATAATAAAAATGCTTTGGCAGATTTTTAAAATATTGAATAAAGCAAAATTGTAGTAATTTGATGTTTAAAAAAGTAAATAACCTATTAGGATAGTTGAGAATAAAAGATTAATGTATTTCTATACTTAAACAGTCAGAAAAAGTTTTATAATATTTGAGAAATGCTTGAAACCAAAATTACACTTTATTTTTTTAGCAAAACTACAAATATTTGTTGGAGTGACGTTGATTTTAATGATAGATTAGTGCCAAAATTTTTCTGATTAGGATTGATCATCAATTTAACAACCAATCAAAGAGTAGTAAACTGGATAATCTAAGTACTGTGCGTCGTGATTGGCTGTCGCAGTTATTGAAATAACGAACAGTTAATGCCAGTTTTTTGGATTGAAATGTTTGTCGGAAACGTTCGAACAACTAGAAAGTAGACGTCATGTATTATATATGATTCTTATTACCTTCATATTTAAATCAAATTTAAGCATAGGTAGCAGTGCGTTGATTTTATTAAAACTTAACAAGGTCTGGCACATTACAAATGACAAAAAAAAATTACCTACTTAAACCAAATTAGCATTAATTTATGAGGTCAAAGTTTGCTGATATTAAATAAAGAATTTTTAATTAAAAAAATAATTTATGGACTTAATAATGTTACGTAATCATTTGAACGATTTCCATTCTACCTCATGTAAGGTATGCGTAAGGAAACAAGAGACCCCGCTCCCTCGAAAAGCTTCACAAAATTTAGGTATAGCCACTTACCGAAAAAAAAGTATGTAAAGTTTTAAAAAAAAATTGTTAAATTTAATAAAGAACTCAGTAATACGTATGATTTATAATTTAAAGAGTTCTTTTCCGGGTGATTGCAGATTTAAAAAAAACTGTTTTGACCGGAAAAAGTTCCTCTGAAATTCTGGTTGTTTTGGGGCTCGTTTTTGCGTGGAATTTTCCGTTATAGTAATCACAGAATTTTTCATTTCCTCACAGGTCTTCGGGCCGGGGTAAATGCGAAATAGTGTTAGGGTAATGAGTAGGGATTAGTGGATCAGATGCCGAGTGCCAGACAAGTATCGTTGGCCTTACCGGTGAAGAGTGGTCCCTAAAATATGGGATTCCTCCGAAGACGTTTAGTAGCCTGGATCACATGCTTTGGCAGGGAGTGCTGTTTTAATTGGCGAAGAGTGGACGTCCTGAAATACAGAGTCTTCTCCAGGAACAGGCTATACAATGACAAGTGCCAGCGTACCTGGAAAAGTGCTTCACATCATGCAGATATTCCCACTGTGACTTTTGCATGGTAAGTGCGATATGAATTAAACCATTGGTAATTGGGTGCGGCAATATACCCGCACACATAGGTGGTGAGTAGATGGCTCTGGTGACTCGGCTCATAGGCTGTCGCAGTCACCCGGTAAAAAAAGCAGTAAGAGATTATATTAGGATGGCTAGTGGTAGAGTGGGTAGGGTACTCAGCTCGCGTGCAGAAGTATCACTAGTTTGATTCTTGTAGATGACTTTTTTTTTTTTTATTTATTAGAGACAGAGAATTCGGAGGATACAAAAAATGACATGTTCACCTCAGGCAGAAATATACTATTTCAACTCATGCGGGTATTTATAAAATTACAGTAGTTCAGGCATGAAAAAATTACTGTTGTTTGACTGTTACCGTGTAAATAAATAAGAAGGTACTCTCTTAGACGCACTTTGAACTGACGATTACCAGTCACTTAAATGGGTAAGATATTTCAGACCCTTACATAAAAATACGTTAGAAGTGCTTGTTTTATTTGGAGTTTGCGTGAGGTATTAACAAGTATGTGTCTGAGTGTTTTTTGACCTTGAAGCGTCAACAGCGTAGATGCTTGTAAACAGAGGCTCTCACGAAGATAAGAAATCATACTGGTATGAAGCACATTAGCAAGCAAACATACACATTAATAGTCACATTTGTTCTCATAGCTAAATACCTGAAGTACTCTGTCTACTGGAGTAATGTGCTCGCATGGTACCAGTAACGACTCACTGTACAAAGCAGTCATTTTTTCATCTAAAAAAAAATATATCACATTCTGACTTGTAAACAAAGTAAATTTTATGCTATCTATTCGTTGATCAAGCAACTGCGTAAAGAGAGAGTAAGAGGAAGAATATTTTCGCCCTCTCTCTTATTATTCTAAAAAAATCATTACATCCCTATTCGTTTGGCGGTCCACATAATTTTCCACTGCACAGTGATCAAGAACCAGTCTCGTCTTACTACTATTATTAAAAATTATTGTTGATTATATACAAAAAAAGCCATTCATAACAATATTTTTTTTCCGATGCCAATCAATACTTCGTACTGTAAATACACAAGCTTCAGTAAAAGTAAAGACCATGAAAAAACTTAATGTATTAAACTAATGAACACACAAGGTGTGACTTATAAAAAATATTTTCATACTTCCTTATAATAATTAAAGACTGTTCAAGCAAATCCTGATACGAAATGAGAAAACAGTTTGTGATGGCCATGTAAACATCTTAAGAAAGTTATTAAAATTCTGCATCGATCTGCATTCTTAAATTACATGACTGTAATTTAATTACGTTCATATTACTGTAGCAAAAACAAGCCATTCAGGATCGCGTCTAACTTTATGAAAGAGATCCAAAACTTTCTTATTTTTATGAAAAAAATTTTTTTTAATTTTACATACTCGTTCTACGGTCCACGTAGTTCCCTCTTTTACAAGTAAATCATAACTTGCTAATAAAGAGTGAATGTCCTAACTTATATTTTTATAGCTAAAGTCAGCTATTTAAATGATAAATATTACTTATATTTTTTTTTACGAATTTTAAGAACATTGTTTTGAAACTTTTAATAATCAAGTTATCTAGCCTACATAAACCGTATAAGGTATTGCAATTTTCTATAAACAAAAAAGAAATATTTATGTACATCATTATTAGGTATTAGTATGACGATGTGACAAAAATTTCTTCTCAGCTTCTTTTTTTGCTTCACTACTATTTATCTTTTAGAGATAAAGATGGTTAAAAGTGCAGAAATTTTATGTCATATTTGTTCTAATGTAAACACAGAGTTATTAGAATAGAGCACGCTAGGGGCTAAATCTTGCGATCTGTGCAAATAGACGGGGCAATATCAGCAATCAACCGGAAAAATTGATTCGCCCGCAATTTTTTTGCACTATCTTGTTCAATCTGCTACTGTATCGGGAAGTAAAGTTTGCCAGGTGGAAATGTGGTCATAAATTGTTTAAACAAATTTTTTTTAAACAAATTATAAAAATTAGATTTTTCCAGAAACAAAAAATAGCTTGTTATTCTTTAGCTCATTCCAAACGAATAATCAATTGAAATGTCTATATCTAAACCCCACAGATTTCGAGTAAAAAATTCCCAAAGTTTTGAAAAATGCCGTTTTTCCGATTTTCAGGGCTCCACGAAAGTGCTAAATAAACATATTTTTATATGTTATAACACACGAACGTTAACTGTCAACCTTTCTCTACAATCTCCAAAAAAAAAAATGTTGAATAGTTGAGTGGCAAGATGGTTTTTTGCAATAAACGTTCAGAGCGTTTTAGAACGCGCTCACATGTGAGTGTATACTTATACATACGTTTCGTGGCTCAGCGTGTAGTTAACATATACAGGTATACACTAACATGTGAGCGCGTTCTAAAACGCTCTGAACGTTTATTGCAAAAAACCATCTTGCCACTCAACTATTCAACATTTTCTTTTTTGGAGATTGTAGAGGAAGGTTGACAGTTAACGTTCGTGTGTTATAACATATAAAAATATGTTTATTTAGCACTTTCGTGGAGCCCTAAAAATCGGAAAAAATGCATTTTTCAAAACTTTAGGAATTTTTTACTCGAAAACTGTGATGTTAAGATGTATATGTTCCAATTGATTATTTGTTTGGAATGGGCCAAAGAATAAGAAGCTATTTTTTGTTTCTTAAAAAATTAAATTTTTATAATTTGTTTAAAAAATTTCTGACTACATTTCCGCCTGGTAAACTTTACTTCGCCATACAATAGCACATTTTAAACAAGATGGTGCAAAAATATTGCGGGCAAATTAATTTTCTCGGTCGATTGCTGACTTCGCCCTGTCTAAAAGAGAGAAATTGCTGCCCGCAAGTTCCCCTGGGTCCTTGTCTAACAAGTGTATGCATAGAAAGAAGTTATAATGCATGCGTTAATTAGACTAGAATACAGGGGAACTTGTGGGCAGCCTTCTCCCTCACTCCGCATATCGTTGCCACTTATAGGCTACCGTAACTCTGACGTGCTACTAATATCTCTATGAGTGTAAACGATAAACTACACATTTTTTTTCTCACTAAAAGAAACATAAAAAAATAGATCGATAATTAACGTATTGTTATTTCTAGACTGCAACTCAACACCAGCAACCCTTGATAAATCCGATTCCTCCAGGCTATGCTTATTTTTATGGAGGTGGAATAATGCCTGCCGGTGGTTTTCAGTATGGAACTCCTGCTATATATCCTGTAAGTAACAAATATTTATAGTTTTTACAAATGCAGTAAAAAACAATTTTTCTTATAATTATATATAACTAACACTCAACTGAAAAGTAAAATCACAAAATGAGTACTTTAAAGTAAATACACGTTTTTTGTTTCTTTTATGGTACGGAAACTGGCTCTAATTGGCAAACTGCTTTGAACGGCTTCAAACTTTTCTATCACGTAAAATAATGGAGAGTGTATACAAAGTTTTAACATACTTATCAACAAATTAACATTATCAAGCCTTTTTCGGTTAATATTTGTTAGTAAACAAAGCATTTCTTCAGACTAACACTTACAAACAAGAAACGGACAAATTCTGGTTTTGTACCTAATTCTTAATATGAAATTATGATTTATGAAAAAAAACTAGGCTTGTGAGATCGTATTATTTTGAAAAACGTTCTATCCAATTAAATATCTCATTAAACATTAAAAAATGATTTAGACTCCTCATTCCACATTGTGTTCGAATAGCTTACTAAACTGATATCTAATGAGTTATCTTACTCTCAGCATTAGTCATCATAAAATTAAACCAAAAAATTATTAAGCACGCATATATATATACAGATCGCACCATAAATATTTAAATATTTTTATCAAAAAATATCCTTAGGGACCACTATTCTTTTAAATAACTGTTGTTTTGGAATCAAAAAATTTTTAGGAAATGAAAACATTTTTCAAGGAGCATTCGGTATTTGTTTTTTTGGTATATCACATGTTACAAATGAGTTATCCCTTTCTTTTCTCAAAAAAATTGTTATAAATTTTCTTATTTCTTTTTTTATTTTCAAATTACTTGCGCTGTATAAAATGCTGTGCTATACTAAATTACTTAAATCTAGAAAAAAAAAAGTTTCTGGTAAACTTCATAGGTATTATATATTTTTTTCATTTGAAAAGTATTTATGCTTTTTTCATGAAACGTCTTTTGAAGTATTAAAAACGCGTACGAATTGTTGTGTTGCAATGTCGAGGAGCAAGTCGAAAAATTAATTTCAAATGAGTGATATTAAGGCAGCATGCTCATAAAATAACTCGAAGCTAAGAATTTTTTTTTGAATTTGTGATTATTTGCTGTCTTAGTAATTACTTTTTTTTCAGTAAAATACCCAAAAAGATCTTGACCAAAAGTTTTGGTTTAAATAAGTATGTATTTATAGGATATGTAAATTTGTTTGTGCTTCAATTCAAGTGTAAAAAAATTTTTTTACCTCAAGCGTTTTTTTTTTTTTTTTTCTCTTAATATTTAGACGTTTACTGGGTTTTTGGTAAGAAAAACCATTCGCTACCAGTGTATAGTAAGCATTTGTGCGCTTGATTCACTTCTACGGCTAGGAAAGTGATTTACAGGTGCACAAAAGAGATTGTGGCTCTCAGTAAATCAAACGTCGTTCGCAATTCAGGTGTAAACGTACATTAACTACACCTTTTGGGCGCTTAACTTTGCACTTATGGTATGATTACTAACGTTGTCTAAGTATTGCTTTGAGATTTCAAAAAATTAAGTTAGTAACAAAATTTTTTACAGAGACAAAAGCATGTACCATTTTTTGACAAACATTGGCAATTACAAGTATGAATATAAATATAAATATTGGTACGTTATGTTCTGGACCTTTTAAGCAGTGTATTAACAGGTCTTATAAATGCGTAGTAAAATCATTTATAATACAATTAAATTATTCATTACCATAAAGATAAATAGAATAGCTGAGGTGGTGGAATGTGTGATGGTTTACTTACATATGACAGCTGATTATCTAATCTTGCAAAGCTCAGAATCTTTCCATCTACCGTTTTTAGAGTAGTTAGATAAACATGATGGGCAAGTGACAAACAAGTATGCCATATTTATGTAGTATGCCAACAATCCTCAACATTTATTAAATGCAGAAATGAACGTAACTTCACTTATAGATGAACTTTGCATAAAATAGCCTTACCTTATGTAAAAAATAACTGCAATAAATAAGAGGAGACCGGGGCGGAATGGGTTAAGAAGTTTTAAAACGACTAGAACCTATGCATTTTAGAAAATTTTTCGGATCTTAAAGTTGCATAACATTTTACGAAGTCTCAAAAATTTCGTGTATCGTCGTTTAAATCGTAAAAACATATAATTTATTAAAAAAGCCATTGGAAGCGTGACTCATTCAGTATACCCATACCGCCCTAAGACTGGGGTACTACGGGTGCATCACTGAAGCGGAATAGGCTCATACTTTTTAAATAGGGGCTAGTTTTTTCTTGAAGAAGTGATTTGTAGCGCACAGTATGAACTGAATACATAAAAAAATTTCAACAATGTTAGGAGTAATGATCATATGTATTTTTAAATGTGTATTCAGCAATATATTACTTATATATTTTAAAATCTAAGTTGCACGTGAGCCTTTAGTGTCCCAACACATTTATCTTACAACTTTGAATATTAAATAATTTACCTACAAAGAGAGTAAAAATACAATCACAGTGGTTTTACAAATCAGTTGACAAGTAAGTAAAGAAAAGTAGGCACCTCCTTTTTGGTACTTTAGCAATCAAGGCAAAAAATAATCCTGACCGTCCCTGTTAAAAACTGACTGTAGCTGTAACGTCTGAATCATAGGATTTGCTTGACGTGGAACAATTTCATCATACTGTATTACCTCCTTTTGGTTCACAATATTGAAAGCATGCATTTCAGCACTTGGTATTGACTGAATTAATTAAATAGTATTAGTAATATTATGTCAAGTTTTTCGTTTTTTTGATCCAGGTTTCAAATTGCAACTATCAGCTTTTCGTTTATTTTTACTTACGCTGAGTTGCTTTTCATTTCTACAGATGTTATGATAGCAGTTTTACCTCTGGCTGATGTTTTTTGAGGCGCCTAAAAAATTACGTACTAATGGTAGGAAAAAACATTTTCGTACATATTATTGTATGATAAAATTTTACCTTTGGTTTTTATTGCGCGTTTCCAACTTTACTTTGCAAGTAATTATAAAGTTCAGCGTCAATGCATTTCTCGACACTTTTGATAATTGCTTTTTTAAGTTTCACAGCCTCTGGAAACACAGTTATGTTAACTTCTTCGACAGTTGTGCATCCATCTAAAGGCACATTAGGCACGATAAAATCTATGTTTGTACTTGATGATTGATTTGTTTCAAGATTTAAATGTTCAAGTGGCATTGCAGTCATAATACTTGTATTATCAGCTACAATGATAGGAATATTAGATAAGTCTAAGCCGGTCAAAAGAAATTGTCCTTTGGGCTAAGTCGAGGGCTGAGTAGCAATTGGAGCAGTTTGACTAGTTGATTCATCACTGGCTGACAAATTTACGTTGATTTATCACTGGAGTTGAAGACTCTACCTACGAATGAGATTGCTCCATAGCTGTGTGACTAGAGCTTTGAGGAATGTTATTTATTACTGCATTATCTAAACAATAAATATACATTAAAATTATAGATTTCAAATATAGATCGAGTAACTCAAAGGATCCCACTTACTTGTCTCAGTTGAAACTGTGGTAGCAACACTACTAGTTGATTTCGAGGGAACGAGATCATTTGTAGTGAACACATCTAGGTTTAAATTATAAATACTGGTCTTCTTGAATGCATTAACAGCTGTAGCCATGGTAGAAGCTTTCAAAAATTCTGGGGTAAAAATAGAAAAAACATCCTTCAATCCTATGGTACACTGGGGGTGATCTCTCATCCACGGATTTATCTCGTCAGTATAGAAGTTGCCTAATGGCTTTATGTATGAAACATCCAGTGGTTGGATTCGGTGGGTACAGTGTGGAGGAAAACAGATTATAACGACACCATTAGCTTGAGCCAGTTTAATTGCATCCAGATTTTTGACTTGAGTTGCATGGCCATCCAAAACTAATAGTACTGGATTGCTCGTACTTGCATTAAAAAATTGTATAAATCGTTGTAACCACTAAGTAAACACTTGCTGCTCCATCCAGCCACTTCCATTAAACTCAGCCCACGCATCTGGTTGTTTGCCTTTCAAGTATCTGAGATTTTCCTTCTTGCGAGGGAATATTAACATCAGTGGCATGTACTTATCTGATGCTGAGAAACAAATGCAAGCCGTCACAGTTGTGCCTCTTTCCGCTGACACCTTGGATCCAACTTGCTTCTTGCCTTTTAATGCTAAAACTTTTGCCTGGGTTTTTGAATTGCAAGAAACACCTGTCTCGTCTACATTGTAGATGTTTTGAGGCTCCAAGTTACACTGATCATAGGTACTTTTCAGTAATGTATAAAAGTCTTTGATGCTTTGCCGGTTAAAACCAACTGCCCTAGCTGCAGATGTTGGCTCAGGTTTTCTAAGCGAAAGTTGAGGGTTTCGTTTGAGAAAACCTTTGAACCAGTCTTCTCCGAATAACTGAGTATCCTTATTGAATGGGTTTGGTATCTGTAAACTTTGAGTGAAGGTGTATGCTAGCCTTCGAACTTCTAAACTGGTGAAACCATACAGTCTGGCCTCATTTTCCAAAATTTTGTCGCAAATATATTTTTCTTGCTCAACACTGAAGACAGACTTACATCCTATAACTAAAAAATTTACATAATAATAAACTTGACTTCGTGTAACCTCAAAATGAAAATTTACACTTAAATCATATACCTACTAGGTTTATAAGTTAAATCGTCTAAAACTTGTTTTTCAGAGCTTTTCATGAATTTTCTCCGTAATGTCTAGCGAGGAATCTTGAACTTTTCGGATGTGGCTCCAAGTTTCTCCCATTTTGCCAATACATCCAACGCATTTTTCAAATCTTTAATAGTCCACAACTGTCTGTTAGTAACCTTTTTGTAGTAATATACCATTTCAATTTATTACTACCTACTTATCCTAAAAAATATCTAATAAGTACGTATACAACACTCAAAACTTTTTGTTTGTTATTATTTGATCGCACCTGAGCGTAGGCAACCACTACTGCATCGACTTGCTTA